AAACGTTACGTTGCTGACATTTGTAGATTTTGGTCGAGACCTGAGCACGGAGTTCGGCGCTCTCCTCCCTCTGACGAATTCCAGGTCGCAGAGAGAGCGCCATTAAGTGGAATGAGGCCTTAAGTGAAACCTCTCTGGCGACCTTTCTGCGCTCTCTGCGCGATTAAACATTTAAATATCAGCAACTTTCTGAGCGAATAACGATTTCACAGCTCACTCAATGAATTACTGAAATAGAGAACGAATTTTGTTTTATTTCATTGTTTTCACAGTGCTTCTTGTACACCCTGCATCATATTCAAATTATGTAATGAAGGTGTAAGGCCCCATTACGGCGCTCTTACTGTGATCTCATGATGACTGAGCTCTCTCTGCGAGCTGAAATTGGTTGGAGCGTGGAGAAAACGCCAAAAGATTCCCAAGGTCACCATGTTTAGATTAAAGATTTTGTGTAGACCGTTTTGAGTTCTCATGGCGCTCTCACTGCTTATTTTGAATCGCCGACCACAGCGCTCTAATGGCGACGGTATGAGCCGGTTCAAAACAGTCACCGAGGTGACGGTGCTCATGGCGCTCTCATCGCGCTCCGGCCAATTCACGTAACTGACAGAGAGAGCGCAGTGAGAGGCCTTATACCCTTGATTTCATCATCTAAATATGATGCAGGATGTACGCTCATCAAGCCACACCGAATTAATTTTACGGATGACATCCGCGCGCGCATTGATTTTTGCCTGTTCTAAAAAAGAAAAAAAATCACGTCCACCTTGGCTTTTTTATTTTATTTTTTTATTTATTTACCATTTGCACGTATATTAAAAACAATTACACAATCAAATAATAATAATCAAAGAATGTGCGGGGTAGGCCAGAAACCTGGGTGGTTTTTCTAGAGGCCTACCCCAAGCAAAGATAACTTATGACAAAACATATTTAAATCAAACATCAAAATTAAACAGTGAAATAATTAAACAATGATTAATTAAACAAAATCAATACACAGAAATAATAACTGAAGTGTATAAATTAACTAAAACGAAATTAAATAAAAGTCTTATACCTTTAATTCAGGTAGCTGTTACAGATTAAACTGATTAAGTAATTAACATAAGAATTAACGAATAAAACAAAATATTAACAATAACAAGGAAAACAAACGAATCAGATTGTAGTTGTACTGGGGTTTTGTAAGAAAAAGTTTTTAAGAAGTTTTTTTTAACACAGGAATTGACTGGCAGTTTTGTAACAGTTGGCTTAACTTATTCCAGACGATGGGGCCTCTATACGCTATTGAGAATTGTTTTTGTGTGGATTTAGTCTTGATTGGCCTTAATTGGTTATGTTGTCTGGTATTGTGCTGGTGAATGTCTGAGTTGAATGTAAAAAAAAAGTGTTGAATTGATCTGGTAAACTATTGGTATTATGAACGATTTTATGAACAAAAATGGCTATTTGTAATTTATTTAAGTCATATACATTTATGATTTGTAGTTCACGAAACAGAGGTGCTGAGTGTGCTGTGAAGTGTGTGTTAGCTGCAATTCTAACAAAGTGTTTTTGAAGTTGATAGAGTGGTTTGATTGAAGTTATGTAAGTGCTCGCCCAAATGAAATTGCAGTATGATAGATACGGATATATTAGACTGTAGTATAATGTTATGAATATTCTTCGTGGGAGGAGGGTCTTTATTTTTCTAATGATGCCTATGTTCTTATGAATCTTATTGCAAATCAAATCTATATGTATCTTCCAATTAAGTTTTTCATCTATAAGTATTCCTAAAAAGCGAGTGTGGTTTACTTGATTGATACGTTTATTATTTATCTATATATATGGGCTTTTTCTTTATCATACTTCTTTTTTGGTCCAGAAAAAATAATAAAACTTGTCTTCTTTATATTAAGGGATAACTTATTTGCCTTAAACCATTGACTGACCTTTTCTAATTCTGCATTTACCGTTGTCAATAGAGTATCAAAATTACTGTGTGACATAAATAAGTTTGTATCATCTGCGAACAACAAAGTAAAAAAATTATCTGATACTAATGCTAAGTCATTAACATATATTAAGAATAAAAGGGGGCCTAATATGGAGCCTTGCGGAACTCCACAAGTTAAGGGTTTCTGAGAAGAATTGATGTTTCCATTAGAGACGAATTGTTTTCTGTTACTTAAATAATCTTTCAGCCAACACAGGACGGACCCATCAAATCCATAATTTAAAAGTTTTTTTATGAAGTATGTTATGATCTACCGTACCAAAGGCTTTAGATAGGTCAAGGAATATACCAATGGTGTATTTATTCTTTTCAAGGGCTGCGGTGATTTTGTTGATGAGCTGCAAGAGTGCCATATATGTTAAGTGTTTTTTTCTAAAGCCATACTGGTGTGTGTATAAGATATTATTAGTTTCCATGTGGCTCACTATCCGTTTATATACGATTTTTTCTAGGATTTTTGAAAAGACTGGTAATAGTGATATTGGGCGATAGTTAGTAAATACGCACGGATCCCCTGCTTTATGTAATGGAATAACCTTAGCCGACTTTAACTCAGAGGGAACCTAACCACTTTCCAAAGAAGTCTTGAATACATGTGTTACTGGATTTAAAATTTCCTTTGACCTGGCTCTAGGCCTGGGTAGTTAGCAACAATAGGTAGCCGGGCACCCAGGCTACTAAACCTCCACGACTCAAGAACTCAGTATATAAATTCCGCAGACAGCCAGCATGTGCCGGTTTGTCGTGTTCGTCGCTATGTTATGCAGCAAATTCACAATACCAGCTTTGTATTCTCAAAGACTGTAAGACTGATGAAAGCTCCTTGGTGTTCCTGTGGTTTAATAGCATTTTTATTTTTGGCCGGTTTTTTTTTTTTTTAATTCGCCCGCGCGCACTAATTTGGGGGTCTTCAGAGGATACCATCCATTAAATTAAGTCGCCATGTGCGCCTTCACTTCTTTTACGGTTTTCCTTAGACCAGAGAAACTGCTAAACGTGATCCTGATATAGCTTAAATTGTGGATGGAAAAAAAAAGTTGGTTTAATAGACGGTTAACATGCCTGGTATTTTACCTATATATTTCGCTAATGTCTTTTCATACAGATTTCGAAGCCTGGTAGAAGCTATTGAAACAACACAAAGCGATATTATAGTTATCTATAGTCATTGTGAGTGATTTTAGGAATGATTCAGGAAAATAAAGTCTTCACTTACCCCCGAAGTTGGCCAGCGGCGAAACACATGAAACACAGAAGCGCGACACAGCTGACTTGCAGGGCCGCCATGTTCGGCACAACAACGTTAGACGTGCCAACCTGGCTATGCCAGCGTGATACTGTGTTTGCAGCTAGACCAGCTCGGCCGGTGTTGTTGCTGACGCTTTTATGACTTCTAGGAAATATTTGTCGAAATAAAATCTACCGACGCACTGTATTAAGGTATCTAAGTAACAAATATCCTCTATTATTATCGTTACCAGTAGCGCTAACCCGTTGATATTTCCGTGACTGAATTGTTTATATTACCCCGGAGTGCTAAAGTACGAAATTGAACGAAATGTATGCATGTATATTGCCATAAAGTGTCAGCAAATTTGTTATTTCAAAGTTTAATATCAAAGACAAAATGCACAATCTGTGCGAACGAAAAGATAACAGGGTGTAGATTTCTAGATATCAAAATTTTCCATTTTTAAACAAGGTGTAGTGCTAACATGTCCGGTCACTTGCACAGGGACTTTTACTCCGTCTTTCTAAGATTTACCCACGTACCAGACGCCTCCAACTTAGGTCCTACAAATGGATTGTAAAAGCTGTAGGAGGCTCTTGAAATGACGTTTTGTTCCTCAAGAAGATTAATTTCACCCGTAAATTGCACACCTGTTCAATTGCTATGTTACGTCAAATGTTTTGAGTTCACCAGTTTATTGTTAGGTCATTACCTGCTTATGATATAGTTCTGCTTTTCACACCTTCATTTTACATTGGGAAAACAGCTTAACCATAACAGTACCCGACATAATAATGCATTGGGAAAGACAAAGATTTTACACCTTACGAAGCGATGGGTCTTTAAAAATTTTATTTGGGGGTAAGGGTAGACTCATTCGAAGGCTTGGGGTGGGGTTCGTGTGGCGCAACGGCTCGCTCGGTTCGAGTCCCGACAAGAAACCGATCATGTGCCCTTAGAAAAGGCACTTCACACGACTTTCCTCACTTCGTTCAGGTGAAAATGAGTATTGTCCTGTCCTATATTTAAAACCTGTGTGTGGGACTCAGCAACAGCTGCCTGTGTCCCAAGCGCACTGTATTGTTGAAATCCAATTAAGCAAATTAAATCAAATCGAGACTTGTTGAACCGTTAGCCTGGGTAGTTTTGAAACGGCCCAAGGTTCCCATATACAGGGCGCTGTCACGGCGCTATCTCCGCGACCTGAAATTAGCCAGAGCGCGGAGAGACACGAAAAACGTGTTTATACCCCCATTCTCTCTTTCTCTGCGACCTGAAAATGGCCAGAGCGCGGAGAAAGCGCTGAACTCCACGAGAAACGTGTTTATACCCCCATTCCACTTTGACGGCTCTCTCACTGCTATCTCTCTCTCTCTTGGCCAGAGTGCGATGAAAGCGCCATGAGCGCCGTCACCTCGGGGAATTTTCGAAGGTATGGAACCGGGTCATACCGTCGCCGTGAGAGCGCCGAAGACGGTGATGCAACAATGGGCGCCTTGAGAGCGCCGCGAAAGCAGAAAAGGCACGGTGAGCGCCGTGAGAGCGCAATGCGAATCCATAAAAGAGCACAACGGCCCAAACATTAATTTGGACACAAAACATGGCGATCTCGGCGCTCTCTCCGCGCTGCGACTAATTTTAGGTCGCAGAGAGAGCGCAGAGGAGGGCAATAAGAGCCATCTAGTGAAACGGGGCCTTATTTTTACACCCATAATCTAAATAAGTTACAGGATG